CTGTCTTTGGGCCCTTCTGCTCTTGGAGATCCCTGTGATTCTATTCCTTCGTTAATCTATGTCTTATAATCCTGGCCCTTGAGCTACCAAAGTTTGCTCACACAGAGGTCCATTTCTTCCTAACACTGAGCCACGTGCTCTCCCAGACTTCAACTTATTCATCCATATACTGCTTTGCTAAGCAGGTACTTGACTTCTAAAGCTCTGCCTGACTTCTGATTTTTGCTGTTTCTTCTTTACTCATCTCACTGTCAGGCACGACTTAGCCCATTTTTGTAACTTATATCCATTCTGGCTTAGACTGGTCCTCCTGACCCCAGTGGATCTAGCATCTTTGATGCCAACTGTCCTTGGCCCTCTTGGGCACTTTGCCTTGGTCCTGATGGTCTTCAGCACACTGTGAAGTCAGCCTGGTTCCCCAGCAATATATCTTGAGACAAGTGAGGGGGAATGGTACATGTGGGTAACATGTAACACTCAAAGCCATGTCACAGGGACTATGAGTCAAAGGAACTAATTATACAGTCCTACTTAAGATGTTTCCCTCCAAGTGAGATTATTTCCTTTTAGTCAAGTGCTATCCGGAGTATTCACAAAACAATACCAGAAGCCTCAGGATACCATTAAAAAACAATTTATCTTCAAGGTATACATCATTTATTCATACACATATTTTTTCAAAGGGAAGCCATGTACTAAAATGAGTGCCCAATTTACTAAAAATATTTAAAAATGTATTTTCCTTCAACTATGTCCTCACTGCTGCTAAACAAGCCTTTATTCACTTCTTGGTGTCATTTTCATATACATGTAATAGCAGCCGTGTCTGAATTTCTCCAGCCCCCACAAGCTCCTAATAGAAAACTGCTTCTTCTCTAGAAATGACTTCCTTTTCTTTGAAATGGAGGCCATATGAAGCAATCTCTGCCTATACATTTACCCCTCTTTTCTTCCTTCCAGATCTGGGAAACAAAAAAGGACACCTCCACTCATGTTCTGATCCCATCCACCCTTGACTTCTATGGGAGTCAAGACCTGACCCCGCTCCCCATCTTAAATGCCGCAGCTCAAGGGTCTCTCATCAGTCAATCATGAAGGGTAGGTTTACAAAGGGACCTGAACCGTTCACAGTTTTTATCAGATTTTCAAAGGTTTCCATAGCAACAGCACAGGGACGAACAACACAGGGAACAATCTCATCACCCCTCCCTCACAGCCCAGGTCGTACTTTCCCTCCCACTCCCTCCCACAGCCTTACCCGCAGCCTGCCAATTGAGAGTTTGGGGTGAGAAGAGTGGGTCCTTACCACAAAACAGGCTCTGACGTCTCTTCTGTCGGTGCACGTGGCTTTCCCTGGCTAGAACGTATCTGTACTAGAGCGTTCTGCTGGACTCTGGGCCTCATCTTAGAGCTGGCCCCTGCAAATCCTCAATGTTGGATCAAGAAAGCGCCCTGTCTGGCGTGGGGATGCGGGAGCTGGGGAAGAGGGTGGAGGTGAGGGCCTGGAGGTAAGGAAGTTAAACGGAGCCAGCCAGGGTCCGTTACAGCTGGGAGCACTAAAGACAGAGGCAAAGAGGAGAGAGGCGAGCTCCGTGGAGCAGTCTGGTTTCAATACCAACAGGAACCACAGCCAGGTGTTGCTGCCCTCCTCGCCCTGCCTACAAGGCCCAGGTGTGATGTGTTGGGATTCATTCCATGCTTTTGGCTGGAGGCAGAGAAGCTGCCTCATTTACTGAGGACTTTCCATTGTCAGCACTTTCTCACTGGTCTTCTGCTCAAGTGGATCTTTGGATTTCCTGGTTCCTGGCTATTGCCTTGTACCACTGATGACCCATCTTATTCTACTTCCTTATATTTGTGTCCTCTTGGTTTGTGATCATCAAAGTCAAAATTCAGACAACACTGGGGTAGACCAGTATTCACTGGACATGGCTCAGGGCTCTAGAAAAAAACTAGGAGAAGGTACCACTCAAGAGTCCTCAGGTACGAGAAAGAAAGAGATCATTCGGGGTGCTAGGTAAGAAGTGAAGGATACCAGCCAAGATGAGCATATTATCCAGAGGATGCAAATAATAGGCAGTTCAGGGTCTATAACCTGCAGGGGAATGGGGCAAGCAGCTTCATCTCATTTGGATGTCTTAACCACTACAGGACGTAGGAAAACATTACCAACATCCATTCTACACTCTACAAATGAAGTCAAAAGCTGATGACTTCCTCAAAGGCCAGGGTTACTTAAGTAGAGGAACCAATACCAGAACTGAGATTTTGTAGTGGTTCTCATAAGTTAAGCCTGTGCCAAAAGTATCTCTTTAAGCCACCCAGCTACTCAGAACTTACGGGCATCTCTCCAATAGCAAACAGATGAAGGACTTTCAGTAAGGAGCTAATGGTGTCTTCTCAGGCTGTAAGAGAACTTATGCAGAAAACCCCCTTTTTAAGTCTGAAAATTCTTTGGCAGCATCTTTCTAACCTCCTCTTTAGTTCTACCATGCTATTTGCATACCACTCTATCAGCATTTTCCCTGTCCCCCGGCCATGTTTCTGAAACTACAGGCAGATGGAGAACTAGCTAATCTCTTTTCATGCCCCTTCTAAGTCACTTTTTCGTCTTGCTAAGGAATGACTAACTAGTTATCACGCTGTCATGAAAATGGCAAATGGAGACAATTACACGTGTTTCTACAAAAATGCCTGCTGAGGTGCATTTTATTTATCAGAACAGAGAATACCTGGGCTAGATTCTGGAACTTTCCATGGCTGGCTATAGAACCAACTTATTCTATCTACCCAAGAGCACGAGATTCTCAGGCCAGTCCCAGGAGCCAATTAGACTTGTTAATAATTCTAATAATATGGCAGTTGCCTTACTGTCAGGGAATGCTTTCATGATTCTCATTTAAAATCCTTTAAGTTGCAGTTTGAGCCTGGTTCTTAACTTTAATGTAAGAATTGTGTGTTTACTTAAGGCAATCTTTTGATTGGAATGATTTAAATTACGAATTCTATTGGCTTCCAATACTTGAAACAACTTTGCACTTGACTTACGAATCAATCCATTGTACATATATTCCTCACGTGTTCTAGTATCAACTCTTAGCGACTTTTTGTTCTGGAATTTTGCGATTATATTTCTGAAATGAAAGTTACTGTGCTTTCATTGTGCTCCTTTTGCCTCACTATGTGGGGAAATGTGTTCTAGGAAATATTTGACAAGAAGGAAGTAGCACAAAGAACTGCCTGAAGTTCAGCACAAACTCCAATCCTCTCACTATTTGGCTACATATACAGCAGAACACCCAAAGTGTTACTTTGAAAAACATAAAGTGTTTTTGTGGCTGTTGGGGGTAGGGAGCCCATGAGGAGGGGGATGGGGGATTGGGAGAGAGTGGTCGTAGCACAGTTTGAACTTTCAGGGACTCGGAGATGTTGGTTTCAAAATGGAATTTATCCTCAAATCCCAAGATTATAGATTTCCTTCCAAACCGCATTCCCTTCATGGTTTTGAGAACACTTAAAAGAAAAATTGCTCTCCATATTTTGATTGACATTAAAAACACTGTGAAAATAGTTTGGAACTTGATCTCTTCAAGGGAAGGACAGTAATTAAACTATAGCTTTCGCCTGTAGCTTTTATTTCACACATACTCAGAACTGTTCCAGGGAAGGAAATTCACAGGGAATTCTGTTCTCATATATCACTTCTAGAAGGAGAGAGAGGCATTCCCAAGAAAATTATCCCCAAACTTCTAAATACAGGAAAAAGTTACTTAATGAATCGCAACCCCAGACCACCACATTCCGTGGAATAAAATCAAATTGAATCAGTCGTTTGCAGCCGGTAGTCTTTAATAGCCAGCACTATTAAAAAAATCATCAGATTTACCCTGCTTGCCATATAGCGTCTAGTCTTCACTCAAGGTCTAGCTGTCTACGTCTGGTTTTGCCAAACACATTAGAAGGATTTTCGGTTTACAAGTCCATCTGCATAGTCTTGTTACAGAAGGGATCTATAAATACCAAGTACTTTGTTCTCATCCACTTTTTTTGACCATGTATTGCCACAGCACTAAAATTCCCCCACCCCTTACAATCAGCTCTTTCTAAAAGGAATTCCAGGCTACTACCAACTAACTGCCTTGTACGACTGTTTCAGACGCCCAAATATGTCTATCTCCATATAAAAGCCTACCTCCTCCCTTTCTGAAACATATTTCCAATCGACATCTTTTCAGATTCTCTAGACACTTTCAAACAGAAAATCAGATTTCTTAAAAAATACTTTGGTAGGACGTTAAATGTGCTTTCTCAAAATACACCCACCAGCCCATGCATTCTCTTGTTATTAGGTTTTATAGGAAACAGACCGGGATAGGCATTTTCTGTCTTAGCAAATATCAGATCAGTGACATTAACCCTACCAGTGCTAGGTGCTAGTGATCTCTCCATCTCTGACCTTATTTCCTTGAAACTCTGGAAGTCCAGTTTTAAAGACTGGCAGCAGACTATCACACAAATGCCTTTGGTTAAAAAATCATTTCCTTTTGGCTTCTCGTCAACCTTAAGAATTGTTGCCTTTGTTTTTAAAGCAAAACCTCTTTAAATCTTTGGCAATAAAAGATGCAGAAGAGACTGTGTGAGCAGTCTGGTGCAGTCACCTTGCTAACACTGGCCTGTGGATATCAGGTATAATCTCGTATAGCTGTCCTAAACAAAAGGCTGTCCTAATCAAAGTTGTCAGTGCTCCCTAAATATAAGTCTCTACATGGTCGCTCCTCTTGTCCCAACTCTAAAAACAAAACTTGAAATCTCATCCTGTTTGCCTTCCGGGAATATCCATATGGCAGCGAAGCCCAGTCAGGCTCTGGAGCTTTCATGGTTTATTGCCTTGAACATTCTTGCATCTCCAGCTACCTTAACCAGGAATGCGGACCGAAAGCCACAGAAAGTCCCAGATTCTCTCTAGAAGGGAAAAAAAAGGAAAGCCTTCTGTGCCTTACCTTGTAGGCTGAAACTTCTTCCTGAGGACTAAGTCGGAAAGGAAGGACTGATTTCTTTAAGCAGAAGCACAGTCAGAGAGCAAGCAGGCAGGCAGCCGAATACACACTGCTCTATTCAATAAAACTCCAGACCGCCCTTCCTTGGCCCCTCCCAGAAGTCCATGCTAAGTGAACACATATTCCCTATGTTTATAGTCGGCAGGCGGTGGTATGCATTGTCCTGTCGTTTTTCTAATAGGCAGCCAATGACGACACCCCGGCCAAGGTGGATGCAGCCTGCCTGTGGAGATGCCTGTCATTCCCTAGGCATGCTCAGGAAATCACTCATCAGAATACCCAAGATCTAAAAAGCTCTGAAACTGCCTGCCGGCTGCCAAAACCAGCCTGCTCCATGCCCTTTTTTGGTTATCCTTAGCAGGGCCTCTGGAAGTGGATCCATTGTCAGGAACAATCATAAGAAATGTTAATCTTGGAGAAAGAGGCTGTCTTGTAGAACACAAATGCAGCAATAAAAAGAAAGCACAGTCTCTGAAATAAAAAGTTAACAGATCAGTTTATTGGGGGTGGGGGTGGGGAAGGCTTCTTAACAGAGGGAGTCTTAATAGCATATTTCTTTTCAAAGTTCTTGCACATACAAAATGAGTTTAAATTGTTATGCAATTCTAAAACCTGAAGTAGACAGGACCTGGGTCTGCTGCGCAGACCGAATTCTAGCCTGAAAGAGGCACAACTCCCCAAAATATGTCCACATGTGTTATAAAAGCAAGCAACCAAAGGGAAACCAAAAGCTTAGGTCTTTTTAAGCAGGTAATACTGGCCAAAGTAAACCGAGGGTCCTGCGGGCTTGGATATCCTCACTGGCTTCACTTTCCTCTCCTTACCTCTCTTGTTTACTCAGATTTGGCCATGTGGAGATAGTACTAGAAACTGATACACATCAGAGAGGACATGAAGAGACCCGCCACCTGCTTTGGCTGGGGTAGACAGATGTATACATCCCACAGAGGTGACATAATGTTCAGGTGACTTCTTCAAAGCGCTCCGACCAACTCTTCATCAGTAGGATGTGTTCCATAAGAGAGTCAGAATTAGGAGCTGCTAATGAGAAGAAGCTAACTGGCTCACACGTAGTCTTCTCCTTTTCAATGTAGAATTCACTCAGTACTTAATTAAAATCGAAAACCCCTTTTTTGGAGCTCTTACTATTTGTCGGGCCTGGGGATGGGTACAAGATCTATGTCTCACTGTTGTATGTTTGTAGACTGTTTCATCCCTGACCAAGAAGCTTCACAATATTTTTCCTGGTTAATTACAAGTCCAAATTGGTCTTCAAAAATGTGAGGTCTTACTATATATCTTTCCCTATTTATGAAGATGTGACTTAGAAATGATCTCTGTTTAGGAAACACGATAGCAAACACTCAGTTGTAACTAAAGTTTTTTAGTTACATTTGTTGCCTCTTTCAGAACAGCTGGGAAGTGAACAATCCACGTGGTCGGTTTCCTTCTTCAGCCTTCTAGCATTAACAAGTTACTCAGAGGCATCCATATCGACTCTCTACCCTCATCTCTTTCTTGAGAAGGCTGCTTCCCTCCCCTCCTCCTGACTGCTACTGCTACAAAACTCCAGATAGCTGAGGCTCCCAGGCAGAGGGAGAGATGAGCTTCAGGCATCCAACTTAGAACTAGGAATGCACTCTCCTAGAGAGGAGAACAAATAATGGTTGGTGGGAAACGTACAGCTGATGTTACATTTCAGGTACACTGTGGCACAAGCAGGCATTTGTGGAACACCACTGTTTATAAGATTGTCCCTGTGGGAAAACATCTTCTGATCTCAAATAAGTGATTTAGAAATAAATTTTCGGAACACAGCTAGTTTTGCTGGTGGGGGTATCCCATATCTAGATACGGTGGAAAGATAGAATAAAACTACATAGTCTGGTAAACTGCTGGGCTTGAACATACTGTAGGGCAGACATCAAGGAGTTTAGAAAACAACTCAATCGGTGAGGTCTGTGCAAAGATATGACCTGTGTCCAGAGACGTTCCCGGTGCGTGCTCTCCGGGTGGTATCCTCCATAACTCAGCGAGGCCTGTTTAAAAGTGCTATTTTCCATTGCCACTGCTGATTATATCCTAAGCCACACTCTCCCTGCTTGTATAAATAATGCCCTTTGGTGGAAAAGCATCAGGGTATAATTTTACAAGCTATGAATAAAATAAATACCAGCTTTCCAGAGGAAAGAAAAGTTGTGCTACAAATGGGGAAAATATTATCAACAGGAAACACGGCAGGGACCTGCATTTTGCATGGCTTTTAGAAGATAAATGGTGAAATATTTTTGGGTTATATCCTTTGAAAAAAAAAAAAAGTATGTTTCCCTTGATAAATTCTGGCTCTCTCATATAGAGGGTAGAGTGGATGAGTGAACACACAACCTATTTTCTGTATTTGAAATAGACTTATTGTGGAGGAACTATATAGTTTGAAAAATAATTTAACAGATTTCATGTAGTGTACACCATGATATTGAACAATTCTTCTTTGTCTTTTTACTTTTTTTAAAAAAACAATCAAGAATTTAAAAAGAAAGGAAGGGGAAGAAAAAGAAAAAACAAGATACATGTTGCTGAATCTCTGCCGTGGGAAATTTTACTTTCATAGTATTTACTTTTTCCAGAGGTCATTTGTAAACAGCCCTAAAAATACATGAGCTTTATATAGGAAATTTCTGAGAAATATATTTCCTAGTTGGATCATCCCAGATAAAGGACTGCTTGTCTATCATAGGCTATATCTACCTAATCAAACCATAATAAATCTAAAGAGACATTTGGAAATATCTGAATGATTCTTTATATTATTTTAGTTACAACTGAGTGATTGCTATCATGTAGATCCGTAGCAAGAAATTGGATTTTGCTAGCATGTCAATTTGGGAAAAGTAAAAACAGGCCATTTTTTAATTCAAAATTAGTTACTTCACTTAGTTCATGAAAAATATACCTCCTTCTAGCTCAAAATGTCTATGTTATTGAATAGAAAAGAAGATCTGAAAATTTTAAAAGGGAGCAGAATACCTCTTGCCACATTCTTTTAGTTAAATAAAACCTTTGCAAACATCCAGTTTTTTCAAACAATAAAAACAGGCTGGTGGAATCTTGATATCAAAATTGGACAAAAAAGTATCAAACACAATAGAGAATTTGGATTAAGTTCACTTATGAATGCAGATGAAAAAATTAGTAATTGAATCCAACGGTGTGGAAAAAATAGATAAGAGCAATGCACAGACGGTTTAAAATCTAAAAATCTACTGATATAGTATACAACTTTAGCAGTTTAAAAGTAAAATAAAATAAATAAGAGAAGTAGAAAAAAGAAAAGAGAAAGATCATCTCAAAAGGCGAATGGTACTTGGTAAACTTCGTAATCACTTATAGAAAAAAAAACCTCTTGGAAAACTAGAAATAAAATCTTTTTAAACATATTGAGAGGCATTTGCCAGAAATCTATAGCAGACTTCATACTTAATGATAAAATGTTAAAAGCATTCCCATTATAATCAATGAAAAGGCAAAGATGACTACTATCTCTTCTACAACTAAAAAAACGTGCTGGATACCTAACCAAGACAAATAAATGGAAAACAGAGCCATTGGGATTAGAAAGAAAAATAAATGTCTTTATTTTCTGTATGATTATCTGTGTAGAGAATTCAAGGTATTTATGAATATGTTAGAACTAATAGAAGAGCTTAGCAAGATTGTTGGAATTAAGTTCAAGATGGAAAAACCTAGAGTTTCTGTAATCGGCCAACTCTAATTTTTAAATATAATGGAAAAAAAATGCTATTCATGATAACAAAAAGTGTTAATGATCTGGGAATAAATGTGCAAGAAAGTTATAAAACTTGAGTTAAGGGCATGAACAACCTGACTAAATGGTGAAATGGATCATCTTCATGAATGGAAAGCCTAGAAGCTGTAAAGATACACATTCTCCTCAAAGTAATCCATGCATTCATTGTTCTAATTAAAATCTCTAAATGGCATGTTTTGTAGAACTTGACAAAACAATAGTAAAAATATTTTAAAAGTAAAGATCTAAAAATCGGCAAAGAAGTTTTTTATAAAGCATCACTGCCCTCCAGCCTGAGTGACTAAGTGAGAACCTGTCTCAAAAACAAAAAAACAGTTCATTTATTCTTTTATTCACTCACTGAACAAATATTTATTGAGTTTCTACCACAAGCCAGGGCCTGTTCCACATGTTGTGAACAAGATACATTTTGATGGAGGGAGGCAGATAAACACATTAGCTAATACATGAATATATAATGTCAGGCAGTGGTAAGCACTATAAAAAAATAAGAAAGGGTAAAGTAACAGGGAGAAACAGGGATGTCTTTTTTGAAGGTTTTCAACGAAACATGAATAAAGTGAAGGAAAAAGCAGTGAGACTACGTGATGGAAACGCCTTCCAAAGGCAGGACAGCAAGTGCATATTACAGAAACAGCAGGCCAGGTGTGGTGGTTCATGCCTGTAATCCTAGCACTTTGGGAGGCTGAGGTAGGCGGATCACCTGAAGTCGGGAGTTTGAGACCAGCCTGACCAACATGGAGAAATCTCATCTCTACTAAAAATACAAAATTAGCTGGGCATGGTGGCACATGCCTGTAATCCTAGCTTCTAGGAAGAGGTTGCAGTGAGCGGAGATCGCGCCATTGCACTCCAGCCTGGGCAACAAAAGCAACATTCTGTTTCAAAAAAATAAAAAAATAGAAAAGCAACGAGTCCAGGGAACTTGGGGAGGAGTGAGAGCCAATGGCCAGATCCGTCTTCCAGAGGCTTCTAGCCATGGTAAGGACTGTGAAGTTTGTTTCAAGTAAGATGGAAGGTCACTGGAAGATTTTGAGCCAGGAAAAAAAAAATCACTGTGGCTACGTCATCTAGAAAAGGAGCAAGATTGCCAAAGGTGGAAACAGAAGGTGATTACCCACTCCCAGGTGAGAGGTGCTGTTGTGGGCTGGGGCAGCGGTGCTTGGGAGCTGAGAGAGCATTGGATTCTAGGACATGGAGATTCGCTGATGGTTTGGATGAGGGCTGTGAGAAAAAGAGAGGAATCAAGAGTGTCTCCTGTTATGGTCTGAATAACAGAGCGAATGGGAGTGCTATTGAATAGAACAGGGACCCCCTGAGGGAGACGGACACTTGCAGGGAGGAGTGGAAATCATATTAGACATATTTCAGGCATGTTAAGATGACCATCAGACATTCAGTGGGAGTGAGGGTAGGGAGCGTCATATGCAAATCTGGTGTTCAGAAAAGGAGTCGAGGCTTAAGGTGCACATTTAGGGATCCTTAACTTTTAGAGAGGATTTAAAACCAGGAATGGGTTGCCTAAGGGAGTGTAGACAGAAAAGGGCAGAGATGTGGGAGCTAACACACAAACATTTAGAGCCAGAAAAGGAGGCTGAGAAGGAGCTGAGAGCCACTGCTTAGGGGAAGAGG